TCGAGCCACTACCACGAGACTGGACATTAGCCCCTTGAGAACTCGAACCAATCAGAGTGCAACATTTCCTGATTGACCGCAGGAACAAAGCCTGCGCTGGGTCTTTGGCAATCCCCCACGCTCTGGTCACTTCAGACGCCGTCCGCTGGCTTGCGGTTGTGCGGTCGTCTGACCATCAATTTCCTACTGCATATTCGCCAACATCTTTCTATATGAAAAAACTCTTCCCTCCCCTCTGGCTTCCCATGACTTGTCCTCTTCTAAGAAACCGGCCCTAAACATCGCAGTTGCTAGGGTTTAACTTAGTTAACCCCCTGAGCTAGATCTACCAAACGACGTCTAAAATTCCCATTCTTGCAAGCAAACGGTTGTACCCAACAGGAAGGGGGGTAATTTACTCCTTTTAAGTAGAAATAATCAGTTGTAACTTCGCATTTAAAATAAGAAAATCGTGCTTCTCATATTTAACCAGAATCGCTTGGTTTTCATTTATCATATATACAACGGAATACATTTTTGCCACATTGTATCGCGTTGGGACAAATTGTAAAAGATTTAAACGAGAGCAAATAATTCTTGAGATTACATGCTTCTACTGGGCAGACGTCTGTCGGCATACCATATGAGCCTCTAGGAAGCTTAATTAGTTCGTCTTATTCAAAGTTGAACAATTTAGCTGGGCAGCATCTGATTCGCATTTAAATGAGAATCGTTTCTTTCGGTCAACCCCTACCCCGCCCCCTTCGCCTCCCCTGGCAAAATTTTGGCAAACAGATGAGGGTTTACGACCACAAACGACTGTTTACTGGTACTTGGATTAATCCAGGGACAGTACGGTCAAGCAGATCAAAGGGAAACAGGGCCAATCAGGACCCAACAACCGAAAACCATTGGAAACAGCTAACAAAAGAAGAGGCGAGCTCCAAGAATAGGTTAAGAAAAACAGGAGGGGATCGGTTAAAGAGGAATTTGAAAGATCGGACGCTACGTATTCCCACTTGAATTCACCAACTGGCTGCTTGCGATACAAAGAACAGTCACCACGCTGCTATATACAGTAGATTTGCCTACCTCGTGAAATGTCGACATTGTAACAGGAGTTGGTAGTATAGCACATAGTTGAGCGTTCCCTCATATTATGTTGTTTACTAACGGTCATACTTTGCATTGCACGTAGTATGGAACAATACGCCACTGCAACTTTCGCAAAAGGATTATTTTCAAAAGAAACTCTGCTAGTGCTGCTTTATTCACTCGCTTTTTGGCATGGACAAGTTTTCTGTTCATTCAAAACCACAGTTGACTGTTGGGAATGCCTCCATTGCCACCATGAGTTACAACACAGAAAGGGCGCTGAGTGCAGCTGCTCCAGCGCTGCCATGAGAACGTGCAGCGTGGATATCGATTTCCCGTCATATCAGATTGGTCCCTCGTCGCCGACGCTTTGTAATCAAGTGGACTAAAAAAATATTCGCAGTCTTTTTGTGAGAGGGACATGCTTTGTGTTAATACAAACGTCTCCTCGTGGTGGATTACATTCTCTTTCTCTCTATCCCCCTTGCTGGCTTTAGGGACAACAGTCAGGCAAGTTCGCAGTTCGTGCTAATTACAAAAAGCAGGCGCGGGTTCGTAACAGGTACATCGATTCGGAATTTTCCGCCTTTCTAAAAAACCTCATTTTAGTAAAGAAATCACAATATGCCTTCTGCTTAACAAAACGGTCGTTCATTTTTTCTTCTGTCAGACTTTGAGGGACGCAGCGTGGTCAGAATTTGCGCAATAGGGGGTTCCTTGTGAAGTTAAGGGGATTTTGTCGAATAGACAATCGACTGTAGCTTTCAGCTCTCGCCCTCATAGTCGTAGATCGTACGCGCTGTGATGATAGTTTGCAAGTCCGAATATGAGTCTGTAGTGTCCCTGGTACCCGAAGCCCTCCTAACTCGTGACGCCAAGGGCGAGGCCACTCAGAGAATGGGATCTCGCGCAAAAAAAGTTTTTAGCGTACCTCGTACCAGTCGCAAACGTGCGCACCTTGCCTCAATCCGTCCGATGAGATTCCCATATTAGAAGACTAACCTCAGTTAGCCTTAACCCGTGTGGACACAGACCACAATGCGGCGTCTGTCCCCAGGTATCACGCTTCGGGCCACGCCGCCCTAGCGGAAGGCTGGGCGCTCCGACATACAAATCTCCTACTGCCTGTTCTTCAACCCCTCCGAACAGAAAATACTCTTCC